CACTTTAACCATGTTGGTATACCCCACATAGTTTCCATGATCTATTGCTACTTACCTAAAAGGTGCCCCAGATCCGGGTGTAAGATCTATAGTAACAACCCAAACAAACCCTCCAAGGATAAAGCATACAAAGCAAGCAATTAAAACAGTTTTAAAATGAACTAGCTCTAAGATAACCCCAATTTTTTTATAAATCCCCAGCAGAGTCGCCAGTTCTATGATACGGTGGTAGAACCGACTATTATATACTGGTTTTGTGTTTGTGTTTGCAAATGTTGCAGTCAGAAAGAGTCGCCACCGGCTTTTCTTTTATCCAAATTAAGGAAAGGGTGAAAAGAACAGAAAAGACCTTTTCATGAGTTTTCTGAGTAAGGGGGGTAGATTATGGAAAGGGAAGATGTTAGCATCCTTTCCATCCATAGTTATCTACGGGCTCTTAGATGCTAGCTCATGTTTTGAAAATTGCTTGTGCTTTGTGTGTTTTGAAAAAGTAGTTTGAAAATGCCTTAGTGCGGTGATTTTCTTTGTGATAACTCTTGTATCACTCCTCAAGAGTGTTGACAAAGAAAGTGTCTTTTTGAAAAATTTTTTTGAAATGTGTAGGTGTAAAAAAGTTTGTTTTAATTGAGCAAGCATTTAACAGCTATCTACTTGTATTCGAAAAAAAGTTTGTTCTTTTCCTCCGTATCCTTTAGACAATGCTATCCTACTATTAGTGAGTAGGTAACCTTATTGTTGGATGTATGAGGGACATTTGAAGGGACGTATAGTAATAAAGGCAACATGTGGAACACTTTAGAAATTTTGTTTAAGGACTAGATCACTTACCGAAAGGCAACTGTAGGGTCATCGAGGGACTATGATCTTTTGATTTATGGGTCTTTGCTAAAGCGTCCCTGTCTCGAGGGACATGACTGTTTTATTTCTGAAGGCAACCAAAGTGGGGTACCCTAGAGGTGTATATATGCAATGTGTGTTATGTTCAGTTATTTTGTATCTTTTGTCTTAGGTTTGCTAACCCTTTGTTATTAGTCTTTTCATACAATCCTATTAGTCATACATCTAGCAGTTAATATGAAAAGCAGTAAAAACGCAGAAAGTAAGGGTCCTACGCTATTACAGCCAAATCGAAAGACAAGAAAAATGTAAAAACAAAGAACAAATAAAGAAGAGAAATGAATTCTTCAATCTAGGCCATGGACTCCTTCGATTCACCCTTCTTTTTCCTTCTTTCGATTGGGCTTGAGAATTGACGTGAGCAAGCTTCAATTTTCACCTTTTCCTGCCTCCTTCGAATGAGTTTGGGAATGGTATGGGCAACCTTCAATTTGCACCTTATCTATTTATTTTGATTGATCCATGGAGTGGTCATGAGCAACCTTCAACTGCAAACTCATCTGCTTCTTTCGATTTAGAATATGAAATAACATCGACCTGCGGAGCAGCATGAGTGCATATCCTTCGTTCACACTCTTTTTGTCTTTCGTTTGAATCTGTACAGGTTAGCTCCAACAAGAAAAGCAAACAAACCAAGAGGGCAGAAACGAAGAACATAACTATGAGGCTATCTACATATTATGCTGAAATGAAAAGTAAGTAAAAGCCTATTTACATGTTATGCTGAAACGAAAAGAGGCTAGGTCAGGAGGACTTACCTTGCCTGGAACTGGAACTTTTGTGTAGACTGGAGTTGTTGGATGCTCTTGGATTCGAAAGAAAAGAAACAAGTTTGGTATGATCTTGTGAGGCAGCGTATGCGTATGTACTTGGTATCCTCTTTTTTTCTCCTTTCTTAGCTTGCTAGTGTGCCCCTTATATAGAGGGGATGGAGGGGACAGGAGGACAAAAGAATAAATAGCCATTAAGTTGGTGTTTTAAAGGCCATGAATGTTACTTTGGAACTTTTCCAAAGACATGGTTTCTTGTCCCTTTTTGAATTTGCTATGAACCTGGACACCTTAGACTTTCAAATACCTTCAGTCCCTGCCCTTCGATTGGACCTATTGTATATCCTTCGAATGGGCCTTTTGAATGTTTCTTTGAATGGACCTTTTGTGTACCCTTCGAAGGGCTGTTTGTTTCCTCCTTCGAATGGACTTTTTGAGTGTCTTTCGAATAGTCCATATGTATGCCTTGTGCCCTCTTCGAATGGGCCACCAATATGTGTCCTTCGAATGGGCCTTTGGAGTACTCTTTCGAAGGGGTCATATCGTGTGTCATAGTGAAAAAACTGTGTTGAGGGATCTTGGTCTTGTGCATTGAAAGCAAGTACAAAGGAAGTCTTTACCTTGTGCATTAAAGGCAATTATAGAAGAAGACTTTGCCCTTGTGAATTCAAGACAAGTCCGAGGAAGCCTTTGCCTTGTGGATCGAAGGCCCGTTGGGGGAAGCCTTTGACTTAGCGAATCCAAGGCAAGCAAGAAGAGGCCTTTTCCTAGTGAGTCGAAGGTTTCTTGTAGAGGCCACTGCTGGTGAATCGAAAGGGGCTTTTAGGGGGTTCTTACCTTGTGAATTGAAGGCAAGCCTAAATTAGCTAATGCGTAGTCGAAGCCTTGTGAACCAAGCTTGGTCGAAGGAGGCCTAGTGCTCTATCGAAGTCATTGTGAAATCAACTTGATTGAAGGGGGGTCCAGCGTTCAATCGAATTTGCTGAGTTAAGCTTGTATCGAAAGATTTCGATGCCCAATCGAAGACTGGTGAGTCAAGCTTGTATCAAAGGATGTCAAACACCTAATTAAAGCTTACTAATCAAGGCATGATCGAAGAGTGCCAAATGCCTAATCGAAGTACCTTGTCCCAATGCCAATCGAAGACATCTTATTTATCCTTACAAATTTTACATTTTCTTTAAGAAATTGTTTGTAACCAACCATGTAGGAGACAACCTTGGAAAACACGAGAGAGAAAATTTTGGGGTACAACAGTGAGTCAAGCTTGTATCAAAGGACTTAGATGCCCAATCGAAGACTGGTGAGTCAAGCTTGTATCAAAGGATGCCAAACACCTAATTGAAGCTTACTAATCAAGGCATGATCGAAGAGTTCCAAATGCCTAATTGAAGTACCTTGTCCCAATGCCAATCGAAGAAATCTTGTTTATCCTCAAAAAAATTTACATTTTTGTTTAAGAAATTGTTTGTAACCAACCATGTAGGAGACAATCGTGGAAAACATGAGAGGGAAAATTTTGGGGTACAACAAAGAATGTTGTGGCAAAAGAGCCTTACACTCTATGGGTTTTGGATAGGGTGTGAGTTGTTAAGTTACCGTTTGACATTGATCCTGAGTACAAGCTAGATGTCCCATACTCTCCACCTATGTCCCTAGAGGAAATAGATAATTTGAAGAATGCCTTGAAACAAGCTCAAAGGGAGAAAGAAGAATTGGAGCTTAACCTCCATAACTTAACTAAGGAGAAAAGACAAATGCAATGCATACTTGAATTAAAAAATCAACAGATTCAGAAAGAACGTGAGACATTTGTGAAGGAGAGTCTTAAGCGGAAGTGTTGTTAAGTGCTACATTCAATTTGGATTTCCACAACCAACGGTTGGAAGATGCTGCTAGTGAGATCGGGAAACTAAGTAGGTGGTACAAAAAGGAAATGCAAGACAAAAAGGTGATGGAAGAAGATCTGAGGGTTCAAATCCAAAGTTTGGCGCAAGCTTCTTTAGATCAATAAGAAAAAATGAAGTATCTTACCACAAGACTCCAAGATAGCCAAGAATCGAAGGTAGGGGAACACCTCAAAAGGATGATGGCATAAAGATTTCTCACCCAAAAGACTGATTAATACGAGCGAGGGTATCTTGAGTTAGAAGGTCTACGAAAGGATTTCCTAATACAATAAAAATTCTATACGGAAATGAGGGCTGAAAAGTTATATTGGGAAGAGCAATATGTAAAGATTGCCAAAGCAGGAGAAGATAATCATAAGATAATTCCTTATCTCTATCAAGAATATCGGTTCTACAAAGATAAGCATGCGAAACTCGCCTTCTTAGCCAACAATCTTATCGGCGACATCCCTAGGAGTTTGAGAGATTCAGAAAATATGATGGTCCCTCTTACGAAAGACGTTGAAGACTTCCTCAAACTTTGTAGGTGTCATACCCCAATGCCCGCCTTGGTGCTACGGTCAAAATTAATTTCAAACTTGGATTTTTGTAAAACTCTTTTGATGTACATTAATATTTTAGGGTTTTATAAATATTCGTTCTCAAGTCTAGTTAAAATATAATAATTTATTTCAAATTATTTGTATCTTTAAAATAGCAAATATATGCACACCTTTCATATACTTTCAATTGGATTTATTTACAACTGAGTAACATAGCACAATTGGTAAATAATGAAGCTTGAAAGCATAAGGTCATAGATTTAAATCTCTTGTTGTGCACTTTTAAACATTTTTCTATTCCTTTTTTTCACTAATTTTTTTTTCCTTTTGTGGAGATCAGACTTTGGACTTTTCATTCATTTTAGACTAACTTTCTCTCCAAGTTTTTTTAAACTTAATTTAACTCTAAATAGGACTATTCAGTTTCTCATCAACAATTTTACCAACAATTAACAATAAATTTTCAATCAAACACATAAACTTTTGTTTTGATTTATTTTAAGATTCATAACCTTGTTGTTGTCCATATCAGACAACAACAATAATTTCTTTATTCTTGATCGATGATAACATACGAGGCCTTCTTTTTTCTAAGTTTTTCTTTTTAATTTCAATTAATTTGTTATTTTACCGAGTGATGAATATATGATGATTTCTTTTAATTTATATATTTTTCAAATCCGCAGTAACGACGTATTGCGCATATTTTTTAAAGTCAAATCCCTTTGTATTTAGATTGAGTCAAAAGCCTCGTACACTTTCGTCTTCTTCACGATTTTTTTCAGGAAAAAACACTTGCACCTTGCTTGAAAGGTAACATCCTCTCATATAATAAAAGGGGAAGAATATTATCTTATAGTTTTTTTTCTTTAATACAAACCATGTCCAATTTCTTGATTACCTTCAAATTTGCTAACCTGTAAAAGACTACCATTGACCAATCTTTTCTAACAAACCGACTTTTTTTCCGTCAAAATTCAAACCAAGCTTTTAACACAGAAACTCCATAAAACACAAATTCAATCACCATAATTGGCCACTCCGCGAGCAGTTTCTTCCAACGAAATCGCACCTTCATCGGAACTCTCTCAAACTCAAAAGCAAAACTCCTAACCACAAGCTCTGGCCAAAACCACACAAAGAAGCCGCAAGACCGACTTCCTCAGCAACCCAAATCTCAAGCCGGAGATCGCGTACCTCCTACCAAATCCCACCTCCGCTCGCCACCGAAATTACGCTTGAGCTCCATCACCATTGCAGGTTAGCGCTGCTTTTTTTTCTTGCGTTTTGTTTCAATTGTAGGTGGTTGTTTTGGTTTGATTTTGTATTGGGAATAAAAATGAAGAAAGTTGAGAGATAAACAACGTTTTGAGAAGAAAAAAAGTAAGCACAATGCCTCTGTTTCTCTCTTTCTCTCTTATATTTTGTTTTGTTTTTTATTTTATTTTTATTTTCAATCCATGTGTGATGATTTGTTTTATTATGCTACTACTTATTTTGCTTATAGAGTAGGTCAATGTCTCTACTCGTAAGTCTAAGAAGTCCATAACTCCAAAATGTCAAGGATAATAACTAAGTAGTCCAAGTAACATTAAAGTTTTTAAGGCTTAAGTTGATTATTAGGTATCTTCAAAAAGAAATGAAAAGTTCAAGTGAGCAAAATAAAAATGACATAAGAGATAAATGATCAAGTGAGTAAAGATGAAAATACTATGAAATGTAAATGATAAAGTAAATGTGCTTAAAGTAAAAACATAAATTAAAAACATAAAATAAAGTCAATTGTTAGGAATTAGTAGTTAGTTGGATGACCATCTTGAAACTTACATTTGAAACTCATTAGAGGATTGGTATAACCAAAGTCTCTTAACAACAAGTTGCATTTGCTTTTTATCAAGTATATCATCTATTTAAGAATTTTCAAGATAACACTTAATGATCAATGATGTTTAAGTGATCCACTTTGACCAAAATTGATGAAGTTCTATTAGAGGATTTGTAGAACCAAAGCCTCCTAACAATGGATCTCAAGGTTATTAGATCAAAGGGTTCAAATTAACACACTTGGGCTTGTAAACATAGGTTTGGACCACGAATGATCATTTTCTCAAATCGGGACAAAATTCAATGCTATGTTAAGCAATCGTAAGTTGACTTATATAGAAGTCGCACCTATTTTGAACTCGGTCAATAACAATCTATGCACCTCATGTTTTAAGACATGATATGTAGATCATGCTCCAATAACATTTGGTACAATAAGAATGAGATAAGATGAAGAGAGAAGGGGAAATGAACAAACCACATTTGAACCAAGAAATTAATGAAACTATTATTAAAATTATTAATCCATTTTTATGGAGTTACACTCAACACCATGGATTCAATGATGTTAACAAAGTTCATTATTAAAATTTCATGGTCCAAGATCAGCCATAGTATATACAAAAAATAAAATTGTATTTAATAAAAGTAAAAGGTTTTTTAATGATTTTTAAAATGAAAATAAGAGAGAAAAATAGCAACTATATTCAAATTAATCAAGAAAAAATAAGTAAGACCATAAAAAAATCATTAATGAACTCAAATTTTCATATAAAAAATTTGGTAATTTTTTAAAGTCAAAAACTATTTTTAAATCAATTTAAATTGCTTAAATAAAGGAAAAAAGATCAAAAATAACAAAAATAGAGAGAAATTCCACAAAAAGTTCAGAAACAATGAAAAAGTTTTTTTATAAAAAATTTCAGAATCAAAAAATGTCACAAAGTGTTTTTAAAACAATTAAAATAAGGCAAATAAGGTGAAAATTATGAAAAACACCAAACATCAAAATAAAAATATGAAAAAATATTCATAAAGTCAGAAATAATTCAAATTATTTTTGTATATTTTTTCATAATTTATTGATAAAAATTAAAAGAGCTATGGATTTTTGAAATTAAAATAAAATTAAAAAATAAATTTGTAAAATAAAACAAATCAGAAAAAATCATGCGGGTTAGATCTTTCCACACTAATACACGCTGGCACATCCAACGGATCAGAGGTAAGGGAGCATCACGAACCCAAGGCTGAGCGCGCACATGAATCACAATAGAATCCAGCCAATAGAATTAAAATAATTGGGCTGATGTCATTGGTTGAAGAACGACACGTAGGTCATCTTCAATCTCCAGCCTCCTGCAAATAGAATAAACCCCAAGTCATTGAATCTGTAAATTTAGGCGCTCATAGTGGTACCAATAGACGCGTCTCTTCAAGATGATCACAACCATATCCTCGCGCCAAATTTATATAAAACACATCGTAGTCAATTTGGAAAAAAAACAGGGATGTTTAAAAATATCAAAATCGAAAATCAGAAGTATCAAATTCATTGTTTCTCCAAAATTGAGTTTACAACAAACATCAGTGAATATCATAGACCATTCCAGTAATTTGAGTTAGAAGATTTGGTGTGTTAAACTACATGAATGAAGTAAGATGAAGTTGCTCTGTAAATGGACTTGGCTAGCACAATTCCGAGCACCTCAAGGCTTGATTATTCTTCTGTTAGCTTCAGGGAAGTTTAAGGATGAAGGATCAAGGAAGAAATCGAATTGAAAAATTGTAGAAATAAGAATTTGAAATCTCAGAAAAGGGTGTTATGGAGAGAGTTTGACAAAGTGATTTTGGCTCTTCAAGCTTGAGAAAATGAATGGAATAAGGTCTTCTATTTATAGGAAAACGAATGGCAATGAAAATTTGAGAAAACAAAGAAGTTTGGAGGGAAATTGAGTGGAGGTTGAACACGAGTGAAGTGTGATTTCATTATCATCAAAACTCATCCAATATTTGCGTTTTGAGGTGTTAAACCCTTCTGACAAGTTTGTTAATAAAATTTAAATAAAAAAGCGCACAAATCTTGTGATTAGAAGCCACATTATGGATTTCAAAATTCTGACTTGGTGATAAATTCAGTTTGAAATTGCCAATTTCAAAACAATGGCATTTTCAACTCAAGGGGTCTTAGGGCATGATTCTTGAAGCTTTAGAAAGATGAGATTCAAGCTTTGCAATGTGCAAAGAATGAGATCAAATGGATGTTTGAGATGAAAGTTGCAATAAGTCAAAGTTGAGAAAAAGATGTTGACTTTCTATATTAGAAAATTTCTAAGTTTTTCTTCAAAAATGACTTATAATCTCTTGTATTCAAACATGACCTTCCACTAGAAATTTGCTCTTGACTAAAAAATATGGCATGAATTAGATCTCTTGAATGATATTTTGAGACTTAAACCATTCAAAATCGGCTCTGATTCTTTAATTTGAACGATTTTGAACAGTTTAATTCAATTTTTATGATTTTATTTCAATTTTGACCTGCATGGAGTTCCACGAGACTCATCAAATTGAATCACTTTCAATTTCAGATCTAAGCGATTAAACGAATCAATTCAATCCAATTTTTAAAACATTGATCAATACTTTTCAAATACATTAGAGCGCATTAAGCATGTACCAGTATCCAATATAAGCGATTGAACGAATCAATTCAATTCAATTTTTAAAACATTGATCAGTACTTTTCAAATACATCATAGCGCATTAAGCATAAACCAGTATCCAATATGTAAGCATGTAATAGTATCCAATATGCGGCAAACAATATCAAATATGTATCTGACATTGGTTCATTATCAATTTTGGAATATCGAAACTATATATTATAAATTATAAACAATTATTAAAAAATATATATAATTAAAAGCTTTCTAGATTTCATGTAAAACACATTTAAGATTTAATAAACTATCACGTATATATTTAATTAGCTACTTCCATTAAATGATTTTTAATTAAATAAAGAATATTAGCATTAAATAACTTTAAATAGTTCTAATTAGTGTGTGAATTAAGTAGGTTAAACTTGTATCTCCTAGTTAAGGTAAATATTGACTATAAATTTAGTCTAAGATTCAAGTGATAAAACATTTATTTATATTTATGTATTAAAATATAAATTAAATTATTCTGATATAAAAATTAAAATTTTATGATATTTATTTGCAAATGGAGTATATATAAATTACTATCCAATGATATAGAAGTGTCAAATTTAATATTATGATATTTTTTATTGTAATTTTGATTTTCTATTTAGTTTTTTTTATTGACTTTAATTCTCCATTTTAAAAATTATTATTTTAGTTTTCTTTTTCATGTTTCTTTTAAATTTTCGTCTCCTCATTTTAAAAATTATAATTTTAATCATTTTTTTAAATTTTATCCTTTTTAAATTTTATTTTAAATTTCAATCTCTTTTTCATCATCTTCAGGAATAAAAAGAGGACTAAATTAAAGAAAACCAAAATTGTAATTATTTAATTTATATATATATATATCATTATGATATTTCTTATCTAATAAAAAAATTATTCAATTCAATATATGTGTATATATAACTAAAGAAAATAATAGCTTAACTTAACACAACATAATATAGTTTCATAAATACCAAATGAAATGGGAAGCACACATAAATAGAAAGAAGAAATGTAATGTGAGCCATAAGAGGTCACATCTAAGAAGCACATTGTTCATAGGTCTGAGACTATATATATAACTATATACATATACCCTCTCCCTCCATTATTCATGATACTAATTGATGCAGTACTAACTTATGCAGCAAATAACATTATTAATTAATTCAAAATGCCTTTAAGTACGTCTCTTAGTTAGAGGCTCCCTCTGAGAGTTGAAGTAGACTGTAGCTACTGGAAGACCAAGATTCAGCTGATTAGCAAAATAACGAGTGTTGAAATTGATCCGACTTGGTGGCTGCTCCACCAATCCTAGTGGTCCCTTCTGCTCAAAGAGAACAAGTATGAACCTGTGAATTCCCACTGGTGGCTTAGGTCCAATGTAAGGCAGAATCTCATGTCCTGAAAGCAACAATATAAGAACATAAGATTGATTAATTATACTATACGTGTTATATTTTCTTCAACACACCGAATTAATAAACGTGTTGTTTTCTTTTGTTATCTTTAAGCAGCCACTTTTCTGACATGCGAACTACGACCCACGTGTGTGATTATCTCAACACTCTATGCTTGTTATACAAAAAAATATGTAGATATAATATGAAAACGTTTTACAATATATTATTAGTAGTATTTATTAAATAAAAGAAGAAATGTATATATTGTATTTTTTTTTAGAATGTTTTACATGTCAATCAATAACAACTATATTAAATTTTAAATTATACTATTATTTTTAAATAAATTATATAAAATAACTAAATAATAAATTTTCATTGGATATTTTACATGCACTAACTCATTTTTTATTATATATATATACTAGAAAATTTAATATTTATCTTAATTATTTGAGAAATTAGGAAATTATATGTTATGAGGTTGACAGGTGTAGTTAGCCGACACATGCAATGCAAGACAGGTGGAGGATAGAAGACATTGGATCTGATTTAATAATAAAGAAAACAAGTGTGGAAGGATGGTTTGTTAGGTTGAAACAAACCAAACCAGGATATGGTGTAATGTGAGCCCGAAATTCTGTGATTTTTTCAAAATGAAACATGAAACATAGGAAAAGCCAAACAACATTCTTGCATGTCTATTTTTTTTTTGTGCCGAGAAACATCAATTTTTTTTTTAAATGTTGCTAGCACAAACTATGCATGCAACATCATATGATAAATGAAGCATCACACAATGAATGTTTGATGATGGAAAATTAGAAAATTAGTAAATTGTTATAAACCAGATCCCAAATAGATTTTTATACCTCGTTTTGGATTTGTTCCTCCAGGAATGTCAACCACAATCCTGAAAAATGAAAACATAAAATATATAAAATATTTCAAGAAAAAACAATGTAGATCGAGTCGAAAAAGAAAGAGTTACCAGTGTACGAACTCGCGCAAGCTTGGTTCACTAGGACTTGGTGCATCAGGATCAGTCATAACCTGCATGCAAATGAAAAGTTGTTAAGAAATTGTTAAAGAAATGATGAAGATGCATGCAAGATTAAAGAGAGAAAGTGATGACAAACCAGGCTGTAGAGGCTGGTCCTATTTCCAGTAAGAGTGATCCTTGGTTGGTTGATAGCTATGGATGGCTTAATGTCACACCCATTGGTGACATGTTTAGGACCAAAGTAAACAGACATGGAAACAGACGGTATGAACATGTCAAGAACATCGCCAATCACACGACCAACCACCAAAGGATCAGCGGAAGACATCATCGTGAAGACAGCAAACAAAAACAACAACGGAGGAGGACAAAAAAAGAGAGAAGCTTTTGGTTGGTGTGGGTTTTGAGTAGGGTGGAACATCCTTTATATACTAGTTGCAAAACTACTTATTACTGATGCTGGTAAATTTTTTGAGTAAAGTTTCTTTGCTAGCTCATTTTTAAGAATTAGCTATATAAATAAATTTACAAACTTCCAAGTGACATGCATAATTTTTTTTTAATATAATAAATAATGAAAAACAAAAAATTAAGTTATTAAATATAATAAAATTCACATTTAAGCTAAGTTCATCCAAAACGCTCATTCTAAAGAAACCAGATTCTTGTATTGTATGTACACACAAATTGAACAATTATGGCATATATTATTTTCTTGATTAATAAATTGTTAATTTTTTTTTTTTTAAATTTACAGCTTATAAACTTTATACTAATTTTTTGTATCATTCCAAAAAATATCCTTCATTAACTATTATTAATTACAAACTCAAATAAAAATTATTTTCACACTTTTTGAAAATGATATTAATTATTAAATTTTTTAAAATGTTTTATTAATTATTGAATATATTCTCTAATCACTATTATAAATAATAAAATATTTTTTTCATATATAAGATAAATCAATTATTCAATAGTGATGAGAGACTATACAAGACATACTTGTTCAATACTACTGTTATCTTTTATTAGATGGAATTTATGTCAAATTTGTATAAATCCCATATGATTTGAGATTTGATGGGATCTACATCAATAAAAAGTGTGATAGAACTGAGTTGGCAGCATAACTTTTATCAAATACACTCTGACTCTCTATCTCTAATCATGTTTATCGAAAAAATATGTCCATATCACTCTAAGTTAATACTACTCTTTTACTTCCTCATTCTCTCAAAATAATTCTCAAAATAATTCTCAAAATAATAATAGTTTAGAATTGTTATACAAAAATAAAAATAAAAAAATAACTAAATTAATAAAAATAACATTTTTATAAAATTATTATTTATTATTATTGGCGGTAGTATATTATCATATTTGAAAAAAAATATATACAAAAAATAAATTAATAAAAATTAGTTATAATTATATTGAAAAAATAAAACAATTATTATTTTGAGAAAACTTTTTAAAATTAGAAATACAATTATTTTTCCTATTAATTTAAAGATCATCGGTTTAGATATCTATCCCGATACCAAAACAATTACTAATCCGTTTGTAAAAATAATTGGTATATGCTCCATATTAGTTTTTAACAAAAAATTAATTATATAATTAATAAATATTATTTACATCACTTTTAATTAATGTTTAATATTTGTATTTTTATTTTTATAAAAAAATTAATATAATAAAACACCATAAATTAAAAATCTTATTTTTTATAATTTTAATAAGTGGAAAATAATCAACTAAGTCAAATATTTTGAAACAAATAAAATATCACTCTTATTTATTTACTTTTTTTCTTTAGCTAGAATAACAAATACCATTTAAAAAGTTACACAAAAATATTAGTCTATTCAAAAATATGAGAAAAATATTGAGAGAGTGAGAGTGTAAATTTTATACTATCAACCAATCACAATCATATATTTAATAAAAATATATTTTTATTTTTAAAAAAATAAATAACACGATACATTATTTATTTTTTATTAAATAACAATATAAAACTATTTTATATTATCAATACCTATCAATTAAACTCTAAAAATATTAGTCAATTATTTATATTTAAATCCTCGACACATCTTTAATTTTTTTTAACAAGACTATAATTATTTAGAGAAAATATATATTCCATCTATCTTATAATAAGTATTTTATTTACACTTTTTTATGTATTAAAATAAATATTTTTTTAAAATATTAATATAATATTTATTATTTTTTCGTCACTACTATATCTTTATTTTTAAGCTTTCACGTTTTTCAAATATTTTATTAACTATAATAAATAAAAGTATTTTAGTAAATGATATTAACTTTATCATTAAAATTAATAAATTTAATATATTTTTTAAGAACTGCACTAAATTCAAATAAAATACTATTATGAAATAGAGGAATAACGTGTTAATAAAATAATTCCAAATTTTCTTTAAAATAACCCTATTACACAATTACTCAAATAATAATATTTTTCCATTATTTTAAAAAAATATTTATATCTCAAAAAAGAATTACAACACATAACTCAAGACCAATTACATTCAGATCTTTTATAGAGCAAGTCAATTCGATTGGTGGCTACACTTTGATATTCAAAAAGATACCAATTCATCTAAATGTAACACCTTTTTTTTATATTTTAATTAAGATAATTACTTAATTAAAAAATCATAAAAAAAATTATGTCAATTTAAATGGTAAGTTCATATTTAAAATTATAAGAAATAATTATAATATTTAACTTAAATGAAATTAACTAATTTTAAAATAGAAAAATCAATATTTGTTTGAAGATAAATTTTGAATAAAATTAAAAGTGAAGAAGGTATTGGTATTGCTAGTTAAAGTACACCTAAAAAGACGGAATGCCACATTTCTCTTTCAAATGGAACAGTAAGTTGTCTTCCATGCATAGGCACTCAGAGAATCCGCCGCAGAGACTGAATGACACGTGTATCTTCTTTTGTACTTTTGCGACACGAGGATTCAATTACAGCCGTTGATTCAAATTTGTAGCAACATATAGGAAGAATCCAAAGGATAACATTAAATGATGAAACCATTTACATGCACCTCTGGATATGTACCAACTGAACCCGTTTCGTGGAGCCCACAAGGAAAACCAGTGGAACATGACCAGGCTACAGCCATTTTATAATAATTAATTACTTAAAAAAATTTATTTATAAAAATATATTATTGGTTGGTTTGTAAGTTGGACAAATTTAAATATTACACTCAAATAAGATTTTTATTGTTATATGTATTAAACAATCTAATTTATAAGTTTGAAGAAAGCTTATTTCTTTAATAGGTTTGTTAACACATATTAAAAATATTTGAAAGGAAATTACTTTATAAGAAAGTAAGTTATATTGAAGTAATGAAAAATAAGCTATAAACGAAACAATATTTTCAATATCTTAGTATTTATGAAGAGACCAATCATTAATTTAACTCATATTTATGAAGAAACTATTAACACATGGCCATCATGCATGATAGAAGAAGTAATAAAGAAATAAAGTAAAACTCTCTGGAAAATATTATTAGAGTGAATGAATATATAAGTGGAGGCTGATGTTCTCAAATAGCGAAGTTAGCTGAGAATAATGATCTAACAAACTCTATTAAATTATAATTAACTCTCTCATGTTTCACTCCATCTTAAATCCATTAAAAAAAAGTGAACGGCAAGCCTGTCAAATGAAAATATATATAAAAATTTAATTTGTTAAG